CCCCTCCCTTTTCCCTCCCTCCGCTGTTTCCAAGCATCCCCGTAGCGTTATCGACCCGGACCGGGGGTGGAGAGAGAGAGCGGATGGGGGGAGGGAGCAGGAGCACGGCCAGCATGGGCATGCGCAGACAACCCCCGGGCTCGGGCCCATGCTCGGGCCACCCCCGGCCCCGGGCCGCCGCCGCCTGGACTTGGCCTGTGCCTGAGTGCGAGTGTGACGGCACTACCCTGGAGATCGGCCCGCTCGCAGCCTGCGGGCCTGCCTATGGTTAGCGTGGGCTAGAGGGCCAGCAGGGCAGGGCGGCGCCCACTCCTGAACTCGCCGCCGCAGGCGCAGGGCAGCTGGCCCCGTGAGGTCATGTGAGCCCGCCCCGCCCGCAGCCCAGCCGCCCCTGGCCGCGCCCCAATGCTCGCAGTCGGCGTCGCAGACATCGGAGAGGGGCTTGGCGGCCTGCGTGCTGCTCGCGCGGGCCTGAACCTCGGACCAACGATCCTCGCCGACCAATGTTCCAGGTAAGGGTGCGGCGCCCCCGCCTCAGAGCCGGCGGCTAGACCCGCCCGGCCCCGGGCAAAGTGACGCGGCGCGCTTCGCCGACCTTTCGCTGCCCCCCGTCCCCGTTCCTGTCCCTGTCAGTGCCCCCCTCCCTTACCCCCTCCTCCATCCCCGCCGCCCGCGGCTGGCGCGTCCTGCAGCACCCCTCCTCAGGTCCCGCGGCCCTGCCTGAAGGGCTGTTGAGAGGCTTAAGGACATGGCCGGGAAACAAAGGCGAAGGGCCGCGCGCGCCCCGCCCCGCGCCCTCGTCAACAGACGAGCAACACGGCCATTGAACGCCCCACGCCAAACGCTTTTAGTCGCGCCGAAACTCGAGTGTGGCAGAGTGTGCGTCCAGAGTCACCCTGTCGTACTCTGTGGTGCAGGCGGCGGGCGACGCACCCGGACACCCCCTCGACCTCAGCGCCCAACGGAGGGCGGGTAGGCAACCCAGCGTCCCGCGTGTCAAGCGGGACTGCGTCGCTGCAACAGTGCAGGGGCCGTCCGACCGGCCGGCTCGCCGCCGCCCGCGCCCGCCCCGCCCGGCCTACAGCTGCGTGCTGCTCCGTGCTGCGCAGGTCGGCTGCCGCCTGAGGAACGTCGGCCTGCTCTGGGTGCTCCTGCTAACATGCTCCAACATCCTGCTGACGGTGCGGCTGCTGAGCTCCACCACGGACTGCGGCCCGGGCCACCTCCCCGGCCACGGCCGCGCCGCCCTGGTGAAGGCCCACCAGCAGCACCCGCAGGGACCGCAGGGCCCGCAGGACGACAACAGGGCCGAGCTGCCGGCGGAGCAGCAGGACCCGCTGGAGCCGCTGCCCCCCGAGGACGAGCTGGACCAGCAGGTAAGACGCCCCTCACACCCCGCCGACGCCCTTCGGTCGTGCTACAACTGCTTATTCACTCTGCCGTCATGTCATGTCGCCAGCCCAACGTCGAGGAGGACCCGGACACCATCTCCGTGGAGCCAGCACTCGGCCGTTGGGACAACCGCCGAGTGCTGAAGATGTTCGATCACGCCATGGTGGGCGGCCGCTTCGCCGAGCTGTCCGCCGAGTACAAGGTCACCCTCGCCACCCAGACGAGCCTGGAGCGGCTCCACTCGCTGGTGCAGGTGAGGACCGGTCCTCTGTCCTGGTCTGAGTTTTGTGTGTGTGTGTGTGTGTGGGGGGG